TGATGAGGGCAATACTCCTATGGAGCGTTGGCAAGCGAAAATTCGCCGCCTAAGACAGCATCTTAGGGGATGGGCTAAACATACCAGCGGTTTATACAAAAAAGAGAAAAAGCAGATTTTAGATAAGTTGGAGGCACTGGATAAAAAGGCAGAGACTGTTCTCCTGTCTCAAGAGGAAGTTGATATTAGATGGTTTTTCAGGAGTAGGTTATCTGTCATTCTAAGGGAAGAAGAAATTAAATGGTATCAGCGGGCTAAGACTAAGGATATTTTGGAGGGTGACTCTAATACAAAGTATTTTCATTTAGTGGCAAATGGAAAACATAGGAAAACTAGAATTTATCAACTACAGGAGGGTGATCATTTAATAAGGGGTGATGCCAATTTAAAGTCGCATATTACCACTTATTATAAAGGTCTTTTTGGCCCTCCTGATGAGTCTGACCTTCAGTTTGATGAGAATTATGTTGCTGACATTCCTCAAGTTTCATATTTAGAGAATGAAGCCTTAACTAAAGAATTTTCTGAAAATGAGGTTAAGGATGCTATTTTCCAGATGGAACATAACAAAGCTCCGGGTCCAGATGGATTTCCTGCTGAGTTTTACCATGTTTTCTGGAATGTCATTAAATTTGACCTTTTAGAACTATTTAAGGACTTTCATTCTGGGAGTTTGCCTTTATATTCGCTTAACTTTGGTACTATCATTCTTTTGCCTAAGTGTGCTAAGGCTTTAAAGATTCAACAATATAGACCTATATGCCTACTTAATGTTAGCTTTAAGATTTTTACCAAAGTTGCTACAAATAGAATAATGGATGTTGCCCAAAAGGTAATTAGTCCTTCTCAAACAGCGTTCATTCCTGGGAGAAATATTATGGAAGGGGTGGTTATTTTACATGAGACTTTACATGAATTACATCGCAAAGATAAAAGTGGTGTAATTTTTAAGATTGATTTTGAGAAAGCTTATGATAAAGTTAAATGGCCTTTTGTACAACAAACTTTGAGAATGAAAGGCTTTTCTCCTAGATGGTGTGAATGGATAGCTTCTTTTGTTCAAGGTGGTCATGTTGGTATAAAAGTTAACGATCAAATTGGTAATTGTTTTCAAACTTACAAAGGTCTTAGGCAAGGGGATCCTTTATCTCCTATTCTTTTTAATATAGTAGCTGACATGCTTACTCTATTGATTAAGAGGGCTAAAGAGGCGGGACTCTTGAATGGGGTTATTCCTCATTTTGTTGATGATGGTTTGTCTATCTTGCAATACGCAAATGATACTATTATCTTCTTGGAACATGACTTGCAACAGGCAAAGAATTTGAAACTGATTTTATCGGTATTTGAAAAGTTATCTGGCCTAAAAATAAATTTTCACAAGAGTGAATTATTTTGCTTTGGTCAGACAAAGGAATGTTATGAACAATATTATGATATTTTTGGTTGTAAGTTAGGTACCTTTCCTTTTAAATACCTTGGAATTCCGATGCATTTTAGGAAGCTTTCTAATAAAGATTGGAAACTTATTGAAGAGAGAATTGAGAAAAAGCTTAGTAGTTGGAAAGGCAAGCATTTATCTGTTGGTGGTAGACTGGTGTTGATTAATTATGTTCTTTCAAGTTTAGCCATGTTTATGATATCTTTTTTTGAGGTGCCGAAAGTGGTTCTTCATAAAATTGATTATTATAGATCGCGGTTTTTTTGGCAAGGGGATGACCATAAGAAAAAATACAGGCTCACTAGGTGGGATGTTGTTTGTCAACCCAAGGACCAGGGGGGTCTTGGGATTCATAATTTGGAGATACAAAATAAATGTCTTTTAAGTAAATGGTTGTTTAAGATAATTAATGAGGAAGGGGTTTGGCATGATTTATTGAAGAGGAAATATCTTTATAATAAATCTATAACCCAAGTTGACAGGAAACAAGGTGATTCCCATTTTTAGTCTGGTCTTATGAATGTCAAAAGTACTTTCTTAAATATGGGTTCTTGGATTGTCAATAATGGGGAACAAATTAGATTTTGGGAAGATAGATGGATTGGTAACTTGGCTTTTAAGGATAAATATCCATCTTTGTACGCAATTGTTCGGACGAAAACATCTTCTATTGCCACTGTTATGGGATCTGTTCCGCTTAATGTTTCTTTCAGGAGAGCTTTAGTTGGTCAGAATCTTGTTTGTTGGCATGAGTTGTGTGCCTCTATAGTACATATTCAGTTGAATGATTCGTCTGATAGTTTTAGATGGAATTTCCATCAGAATTGCTTGTTCTCGGTGAGGTCTATATACCTAGCTTTAATTAATAATGGCTATATCGAGAGAAACAAGTGTATTTCGAAGCTTAAGTTGCCACTTAAGATTAAAATTTTCATGTGGTACCTGCTTAAAGGGGTTGTGTTAACTAAGGATAATTTGGCAAGGCGTAACTGGAATGGTAGCTTGAGGTGTTCTTTTTGTTTGAAGAAAGAGTCTATTCAACATCTCTTTATGGATTGTCATTTTGCGAAGTTTTTATGGAGAGCAGTTCTATTCTCTTTTGGTTTTAATCTTCCAGTTAGTATATCTCATATTTTTAATGTGTGGCTTTTGGGAGTTGATAAGAAAATGAGTAAACTGATACTTGTTGGAGCTTCTGCCATTTGTTGGGCAATATGGCTGAGTAGGAACGATATGGTTTTTGACAAATCACCATCATTTTCCTATATGCAGGTCATTTTCAGGGCAACTCATTGGCTCCGGTTTTGGGCACAACTACAAAGGTGTGATGAAGATGAAGAGTTTCTGAAAGTTGCGTGCTGAAAGTTGGAGACCACGGTTATGCAACTATTTGCCAATTATGGTTGGAGATTTACAAATAGACTTCAATAATTGTGATCTCCTTACGTTAGGCTGGTTTCTTTGTTTTTCTCTTCGGTGCGTTCTATTCATTTAGATTTACACTATGTTCATGAAAACTACTATATAATAATTGGCTGTAGCTCTTTTGAGTAAAGGCCGGGATATTATATTCCATTATCTAAAAAAACTTGATCAATCATAGGCATAAAAATGGTGAGATCGATAGAGATACAGTGTCAGGTGCAGCTCTCCAAAACTAGCCATAAGCATGAAGGCGAGTTAATTGGCTTATCATTGAGCCATGTGCACGTTCTTTCGCTTTTCGGAGAAAGAGACGGAGTGAGATCCTCTTTTGTAACTATGTATGTTGGTCCATAGACGTACACTTTGTTCGGACGCATTTTAAAGGGGCAGGGTGTAGAGCACCAAAGCTGGTCATATATAAATGCAAAGCACTGTCTGAATTCAGGGTCCTAGGCCGTGTAACCGACACTAAAAATACTCCCTTCAGTTTTTAGTCCAGGATATATCCTCGGAGACATATTTGATTATTCTCGTCTTTTTAAGAATTTCTCTCTCTAATTATGTCGAAAATATCCTCGGTAAATTACCATTTTTTAAAAATATCGTTTAGCCATGATACATTTTTTACGATGTCTGTAAACAAATTACATAAATTTTAGGTGCTATGTAGGAAAATTTACCATTAATAAATTATGTTATTATCATTCATTTTGTTGTGATTTATTTCATTATTAAAGATACTATAAACATGACTTGTATATTTTACATAAAATTTTAAATAACAAAAATGGTTTAATGTATGATAAAATTAAATTAATGAAATCATGCATTAAAACCTAAAAATGAGTGTAAAAAGGCTAGATATGGGAAAAGTAGTAAAGTACATGACTTGATAAGATGGACATAACTCGATATTACAATCTCACACGTACGTACGAGCACAAATCACATCAAGATAACTAATTATTGCAGACAACAAAAGAGCTTTGCTAGCTACCCTAAACTTTAGCAGACAATGCTGCAAGCTAGCTAGCTACTTTAATCCCTTTCCATAGAGATAGATGCTCTCTCTACTGGAGTAGTACTGTAGGATAAACATGGCATCAGAAGAAAAACAAATTAAACAGCGATTGATAAGTTGACTAATTATTTCATCAACTAGCTAGGTAGCTTAATTATATTCGAATAAACCAAGATAGCTAGTTTGGCAGGCAAGCAAATTAGAAGCAGCTAGATCGATCGATTAGCAGGCGGCGCTCCGGAATCGAATGGCCTTGCCGGGGACGTCGTACACCACCTCCAGCGTGCGCTGCTGAACGTTGCCGATGAACCCTGGCATGCGGTCGGTGGCGGTGGGCGCGAAGGCGAGGCAGCCTTGGAGCAGGATCCCCGCCGCGTCGAGGTTGACGGTGGCCCCGCCGTCGAATACCAGGGCGATGCTGGGCAGGGTGATGCTGCGGACGCCGGTGAAGTCGTAGCACGTGTCGAGGATGGACACCGGCGGCGCCGTCCGGTACATGGTCATCGCCCTCCTGAACGCCGCGCGCAGCGCCTGGTACGCCGTCGGCGGCAGCCGCGAGATGACGGTGGTGGAGGCGATCACAGAGCTGGTGGAGAAGACGGTGGGTGGCACGGGCAGCGGGCGCCCCGCCACGATGATGGCGCGGAGGAGCACCCTGTAGAACGTCGGCGGCATGCTGCTGCTGCTCAGCAATGGCGTGGAGACGAAGGTCGGGACGAGCGCGGCGCGCTGCGGCGGCACGCCGAGCGTGATGAACCCGAGGGAGCTCGGCGACGGCGGGATGCAGTACGAGAACACCCTGCCGTACTGTGTCGCCGTCTGCTAAACGAAGGACTGCGCACCGCCGCCGAGCGCCAGGGTGCCGGAGACGTCGAAGTTGAAGGTGCTTCCCCGGTCGGCGTGCGCGCACCCGAAGAGGAAGACCCTGACGATCGACGTCGTAGGGACCCAGCGTGAGGTCATCGAAGCTGTACGTCCCGGTCGCCGTCGAGCCATCGCCGTAGTTGATGCCGAACTGGCACTGCGCGTTGGCGGAGCAGCCCTAGGTGGACGTCCACCCGGGAGATTAGAATCTATCTCTAGTTAATTGTGTGCGCACAAATAGTCAACAGATTATGCATAAAATGCTAGATATGGAAAAAGTAGTACATCACTTGACATGCAAGATGGAGATGCATAACTCGATATTACAATCTCACACGACCGAAATCACATCAAGATAACAAATTATTGCAGACAAGATAAATAAAAGAGCTTTAGTAGCTAGCCTAAACTTTAGCAGACAATGCTGCAATTAAGCTAGCTACTTTAATCCCTTTCCATAGAGATAGATGCTCTACTAGTACGCCATGTAGGATAAACATGGCATCAAAACATAAACAACAATCACTTTGACTAATTATTTCATCAACTAGCTAGCTTATATTCGAATAATAAGCTAACAATACGCTAGTTTGGCAAGCAAGCAAATTTGAATTAGCACTTAGCAGGCGGCGGTCCTGAATCGCATGGCCTTGGCGGGAACGTCGTACACCACCTCCAGCGTCTTCTGCTGCACGTTGCCGATGAAGCCGGGCATGCGGTCGCTGGCTGTGGGCGCGAAGGCGAGGCAGCTGCCTAACAGGATCCCGGCGGCGTCGAGGTTGACGGTGGCGCCGCCGTCGAAGACGAGGGCGATGCTGGGCAGGGTGATGCTGCGGACGCCGGTGAAGTCGTAGCAGGTGTCGAGGATGGACACCGGCGGCGCCGCCCGGTACATGGTCATGGCGCTCCTGAACGCCGCGCGCAGCGCCTGGTACGCCGTCGGCGGCAGGCGCGAGATGATCGTGGAGGAGTCGATGACCGAGCTGGCGGAAAACACGGCCGGTGGCACGGCGAGTGGGCGCCCCGCCACGATGATGGCGCGGAGGAGCACCCTGTAGAACGTGGGCGCCATGCTGCTGCTCAGCAGTGGCGTGGAGACGAAGCTCGGGATGAGCTGGGCGCGTTCCGGCGGCACGCCGAGAACGAGGAAGCCGAGGGAGCTCGCCGTCGGCGGGAGGCAGTAGGAGAAGACCCTGCCGTACCGCGTCGCCGTCTGCTGCACCAGCGACTGCGAGCCGCCGCCGAGCGCCAGTGACCCGGCGACGTCGTAGTCGAACGCACTCCCCCTATCGGCATGCGCACAGCCGAAGCGGAAGCCCCTGATGACGTCGTAGGGGCCCAGCGTGAGGTCGTCGAAGCTGTACGTCCCGGTCGCCGTCGACCCGTCGCCGTAGTTGATGCCGAACTGGCACTGCGCGTTGGCGGAGCAGCCGCGGCGGTAGGGGCCGAGCTGCGCGCAGGCGGCGGAGGTGCAGGGGACGGCGGCGTACGTGGTCGACATGGCCGGGTCGAACAGGGGGTCCCGTTGCCGGTGGCACATCGGCAAGGGGCATGGCTTGCATTGCACCCATGAAACGTCGCTGCCGGAGTCGATTATCACCGTCTGGGTCACCGCCGACGTGCCATCCGGCGCCGAATTCGTCGTCGCCGTCGTTGATAAACTCTTCATTATTTATTAACAAATCAATTAGTATAATATACACACTTAATTTAGTACTCCTACTATATTGACAGATCAAGCAAGCTAATTAAGGAGAGACGTTGCTTACTTTGAGGTGAGGCACACTGCCTAAGCCACCATTAGTGGCGTACTGGCCGTTCTTCTCGTATTGCGAGGTTCTGCTCGAAAAGGCCATCGGCTGCTTGTCGTCGGTGGCGCCGGTGAGCCTCTTTTGGATGTAGTCCGCGCGGCGTTGGTCGTCGTCGACCATGTCGGCCATGGAAGCGGCGACGTCGGCGGCGGTGCTGTTGGCCGACGACGGCGCCGGCGAGCATGGCCCATACAGGTGATGCAACGGTGCCCAAGTGCTGTTCGGCGACGGCACGTCCCCTGGAGCAACTGTGGTACAAGCATGCGGCCGGTGATGAGAGGTTCCCTTGTAATTAATAAAACCGTATGGAGATCCAAGTGATAAAAAAAGACCATAATTTATGCGGAGATTTTGCGCATATATATATATATATATATATATATATATATATATATATATATATATATATATATATGCGCAATTGTTTGGATGCCACAATTTTTAATTATTTATTTATTATGTCAAATGTTAGGTACGTCATATATAGTTTTCTAGATAAGTATCAATGTAGTATGTTTGATTCAGTGTCACAACTATGACCTGCCATTTCATACTTTTATCTGGCGTACGTATCAAACACTTCATTTTTCCAAACCTACCACAAGTGTGGCTATATGTTAAATTGTAAATTGTCAGTCATTCTTGTGACAAGATTTGGAAAAAGATCGAAGTGTGGCAATGTGTAGATGCCATCCAAACATACCCGTATGTCACATAACTCCGACCTCTCAGTACGTTGGGTATAGTATATACATGTTCATACACATCAAATGACGTTGACAGCAAAGCTACGTTTATTAATTCCATTAAAAAATATGTTGGCTTTATATATTTACTTAAAAAAAATACCCGTACGTTGTAACGGGTAAAGACGTTTTTCAATGATACAACAACTATTTAGGAGCTATAATGAGATTAATTTTACATGAATTTGTAATTTACCTTTGAGAAAATACAATTCACATAATAAAAACATCTGTCTAAATTTCTCGTTGGATCTCAAATACCTTATCAAACACTGATGACGTACCAAAATTCTGCGAAAACATTTTCAATATTTATAATAGTAGAGAAAAATTAGAGATGAGAATTACTTTGACCAATATTTTAGGAGCATATGATATTTATACAAAAGTGTATATTTTATTCTGGTCCACCATATATATATATATATATATATATATATATATATATATATATATATATAAAGTTAGAAATTCAATAATACCCTTGTGGCCGGAGCAGAAAGTTTTCGGTTTCATGGTGCTGGTTGCTATGACCATATAGGCGCCGGCTGCAGCGTCTCCTCCATGGGCAACAAGAATGGAGCTACAGAGGACGAGAAGCACTAGCAGTAGTCCAAGAGGAGTCATGGCGATCATTTGTACGTGCTAGCTACTATGTTGGCTTGCTGCTGCTTGCTAGCTAAGCTGTGGGTTACCCTACGATTTGAGCCTTGCCCTAGGGATGTGGCTATATTTTATAGGGCTATACGCACCGACACAGGGACGGTGCCTTACATTGATACTCGCTACATCCAAACGTAGTACTGCCTCCGTATTTTAATGTTGACACCGTTAATTTTTTTACTAACGTTTGACTATTCATTTTATTAAAAAATATTATTATTATTTATTTATTGTGACTTAATTTATCATCAAATGTTCTTTAAGCATGATATAAATATTTTTATATTTAAAAAAAAATTGAATAAGACGAATGGTCAAACGTTGATTAAAAAATCAACGGCGTCATGTATTAAAATATGGAAGGAGTACCATGTAGTAGTATAAATGACGGGTTAATTCCTAATGCATGCATATCTGTTAGGTGCAGGTTAATATGTTTAGCGCTATTCACGCGCTTAATGCTTGAAAGTTTTAAAATATAAGATGAAAGTTTCAAATTTAAGATTTAAAGTTTTAAGTTTTGCATTCAAAGTTTTAAATTAGAGTTCAAAGTTTCAAAATATGGGGACTGTTTTTCTAAATTTTGAGTTGAAAGTTTTAAATTTTGAGTATAAAGTTTTAAATTTGAGTTGAGATTTTCGAATTTCATGTTAACAGTTTTTGAAATTTGAGATGAAGGTTTTGATATTTGACTTGAAAGTTTCAAAAATTAAGTTGAAAGTTACAGAATTTAAGTCCGCTTGAAAATATCAAATTTGATTCGAATAAGTTTCAAATTTTCATATAGATTTCAATTTATTTAGCAAAAAATGGTAACAACCATTTGAGGAAAAAAAAGTTGCATGGAGGGTTATTAAAATCACGCAGAATCGGTAATTAGCGCCAATCATGATTTTGATTCTTGTCTGTTTTCAACGGTGGCCCACCAAGCCCACATGAATGGAAGAAAATTTGGTAGGACTAAAGTCTTATGCTTATCATAAAGACTTTGTTTCAAAACGTGACAATCTCAAAGCAATCTCTCAGTTCTCCTCTGTTGGCACATATGAAATGGCACAGCAGTGATTCCTTCATCCAGTTCAGTCCGGCGGCAAGCTCTCGCTCATAGAGAACAGGAGATCAGCGGGAGGCGATTCCTCACTCCCATTCAGCGTCTCAACGAGCTCACACACCTTCTTGTTCAGCGTAGCAGCAACGCCACACTGGTGGAGGCGAAGCGGTGGCCTGCGAGAGGTCAGCAATCTCCTCACCCTACGGTCAGACTCAATTGCCCATCAATTTACTCAACTACTCAAGCTTGCTACAAATTACTTCATCTGGACTGCTGGAGGTTCGCCACTGCTCCCCCAATGGCCTGCTGTGAGCCGCTCGCAGACCAAGGAAGGGCAAGCTCCCATGTGCGTGCTCCTCTGTGCAAGCTCGCTAGGAACATGGGGGCAGACAAGGACTGCAAGATTGGTGCCCACACATGTCGTGAGGCGTGAGGTTGAAGAAGAGGATGAAATTGCTTTAGGATTGGTGCTCACACGTGTCACGCTTGGAAATGAAGTCTTTCCTATTAGCGTAGGACCTCCGTCTTACCAAATTTTCTTCCCACATGAAGTACATGTGACACAATGCGTCATATTTAACGAAGTCGTGTGTCTGTATGGAATAGCTTTTTGATGAATGTCATTGGACTATCTATTTCAAAATATATAAACCTAGTTACTAAATTAGACACCACCTAAAACTTTTAATCATGACAATCATTTAATTTCACCATATTCTTTTAATTTAAAAAGTCTAAAGGTATATATATTTTAGGATTGAGAGAGAGTAACTTATTGTATCTGATAGACACATTTAACAAATCCCAAACTAACACAGAAGTACAATCATATATGGAAAAATAAGCAGATAGTAATTAAATACAAAAGCATGAATCTTCGTGAGGCCCCTTCATCACTTCATTACTCACTATTGATGTATGATGTGTTAACATTGGTAAATGCAAATGTGATGTAGCAGAAAAAAAAGAACACCTGGCAAGCTCAAAAGAAAAGATTTAAAGGAATATATAAATAGACCTTTATCAACTTTTCGCTTAGGACCACTGCTTCCTTTACTATCTTTTCCAAAGCATCTCACAAAACTTTAGTTAGTCTACTTTAATACACCTCCAAAGCTTACATCTACTTTGGATCTGTTTTTCTTTTAGATAATCAGCTTTGGATCGATCGGCACCATCGGATCTTTTTATTTTTTGAAATAAGTTTTGCATCGTTAAACAATGATTGTACCATCTCACTTTTCTAGGTCCGGACAGACCAATTCAGAGTTTCAGATATATTTGTTCATCTCGACGAAACCAAAATAACCAACTAAGGCAGCATGAAATTAGTGCACAATCACACGAAGAAAATACCGTGCAAAACATTAAAAAATAATTTGTGCAGTCCTTTCATTTTATAGGCGGTTTAAATTTTTAACCGCCTATGAAGATGGCTAAGACTGCTGTCAAACACCGCCTATAAATTTGGGTGATTCTAAAGAGTGGTTTTCTTAAGAAAACACCTAAAATATTTGATTTTCAGAGGCCCTCTGAAAATGGAAACAGGAGATTATGGATACCACATACCTACATGGCATGGATTGTCTGATTACAAGTAGGGGTAGTTCATGTATAGATATTATACGGATAAAGGCCCAAGTTACGTGATTCCTTATGTATTAAGGTAATAACTTAGGAGTCCGAGTCCTATACTATTGTAACATAGGCAATACAATACCGAACCGTATGAGGTGAGGTATTTTCATTGTAATCCTAGCTCCTCCGACTATATAAGGAGGGCAGGACGCCCCCAAGGGGCATAAGACTTTTTCCACAATCAATACACCCGGCGGACACAATCCCCGAAACAGGACGTAGGGTATTACCTCTCAAGAGAGAGGGCCTGAACCTGTCTAAAGCTTTGTGTCTGTCCCAATCGCACTTTTCGAGCTCATACGCAACCCCCAATTCATATTGCCGAAAACTAGTTTCGACAGTTGGCGCGCCAGGTAGGGCAGTGTCGATTTCTTCACCGACTAGTGGAATGGGATCTCCATCAAGCGTCGATGACTTCGTCTTCCCACCCGGGCAGACATACGTCTTTGGTAGCCTTGAGCTCGTCACCGATGACTTCGGCAAGCTTTCTCTCTCCGACTTGGATTCGAACCAGTCGGGGAGCTCTTCCGACTCGATCCCGTTCGACCTACCGAACACAGCCGAGTCCTATTCCAAGTGATCTCTGTCAGGGTTACGGATAAGGCATACCTCCTATCCTACGACTCATAGAATATACGGATACGGTATACCATGATGGACGGGTATTGTTCCCGTATTTGTTAAGGAAATCTATAGATATTATGGAAAATACCTCAACGAGTCTGAAGACAACAGAGTCCTACTCGGAGAGGGTTTGGCTCTTTCTATATCGTACGGGGTCTGATATCTCCGAGTCTTACTTGGAGATCAAGGTGATATACGGTATAAAAGGAGTACCCCCCGAGGGGTTACAGGCATCGAATCTTCCCACCAACAAATACACCATAGTTTACGAAGCCGGAGCACGTCAAGCCTTCTCGCCGGGGCATCTAGTCGAAACCATCGACTACGATCTCGCTGGTTTCATCAAGTTTGGTTGTTCTATTTGTAATCTGTGGTTTTCCATATCAATATCATATAAACTGGACGTAGGGTTATTCTTGATAAGGGGTCTGAACCAGTATAATCCTTGTTTTCTTGTTTGCTTGATGTCGTATCGTATAGATTCTCATACCAACGTACCCAAATACCCTATTCAGCTGGTCTACGGGTATCACCCGTCGACAGTGGCGTGCCAGGTAGGGGGACTTGGTGCTCAAGGTTCTGCCGACATGACTTCAAAACGTTTCGACAACAATGTCAACATCAATACTGCTCCAGGAGTTCCGACCATGACATCGCTGATGTGGACTCAAGTCGGATCAATTGTCTTTCCGATCTATACTGTCGTACCGATCTCATCGAACCCAATCTCTGTCGGGAACGAGAACGGAGCAGTCGTGACTTCGAGAAACGACCCCCCAACGATGATTCCTCCCGCGGCAAAATTCAAGAAATCAGAATCAGGCGCCGACAAGGATAGCTACGCAGAAATCGAGCACTTGGTGTCACATTCATAAGACATCCAAGCACTCTCTGTCGGATTGCTCGGTGGTACGTCATGTGGCGGCTGAACTCAAGGCATGCAAAGAGTGCGGAATTCAACATGCTTCACCAACCGATATCACCTGGTGTCCGATACATAAATCAAAGAAGCATGATCTCTCAAGCTGCAAAGTCTTTCTCGGTACGGTCAAGCCTCAGCGACCTCAGATCCGACAACCACGAGCTCAACCTCGATGTGTTGCAGAGGAACGGGACACAGAGACAACACCCGATCGGTTTGTGGGATTCGTTGATGTCGACCCCCACGAACCCTCGGTTCTACACTTCTGGCAGACCAGGAATCTTCTCCGAGTTCACCGCGAGATGTGAACGTGATCGAGGGAGCTGAAGACAGCGCGACGATTCACGGCGACAATGGTGCCCGATACACAAGACTAACACGCATACCATGGAGGATTGCAACGTCTTTAAGAAGGCACTTGCAAGACAATTGGCGGTCGAGAAGAGAAAGCGAGTACGAGTAGTCGAGGCACCTGCTGATGCGAGTACCCCGAATTCCGACTTCGCGTTCTCAGAGTTTGACCTCCACGTCACGCACATCTTCGGCGGTTCTATGTCGTACTCCTCAAAAAGAGAGTACAAAAAGATAGAACGCGAAGTTTGCTCTACATCACAAGGAATTACCGCCAAGATTAAGTGGTCGCAGCACAAGATCGAGTTCTTGGAGGCGGACCACCCGAAGACTACAACTATCCCAGGAAGATATCTGATCGTGGTTGAACCCACTGTACGGAACATCAAGGTCGCAAGGGTTCTCATCGATGGCGGCAGTTCAAGCAATCTCCTTTTTGCTGGCACTCTGGACGCAATGGGAATC